TGTCCCCTCTGACTCCTGATGTCCCCTCTGACCCCCCCATGTCCCTTTTGACCCCTGGTGTCCCCCCCATGTCCCCTCTGATCCCCCCGATGTCCCCTCTGACCCTGTGTCCCCCCTGATGTCCCTCCATGTCCCCTCTGACCCCGATGTCCCCTCTGACCCTGTGTCCCCCCCGATGTCCCCCCATGTCCCCTTTGACCCCTAGTGTCCCCCCCGTGCCCTCTGACCCCTGATGTCCCCCTCCCAGCGCCGCCCGTGCGAGGCCGACGCCCTCCGTGCCCCCCCCTACGCCAACGTGTCGTCGCTGGAGGACGTGGTGACCCCCCGCTTCCTGTGCTCGGGGGGCACCGAGCCCCAGGTGGACGACAACGCCTGCCCCGGTACGCACCAGTATACACCAGTACGGACCAGTACAAACCAATACGACCAGTACAGGCCCGTACGGCCCCCCAGTGCGGCCCCCTGGGGGGTGGCGGGGCGGCCCAGGGCGGGGCCCTGTCGCCCAGTTTGTGCCAGTGCGTTTTGGTGGCACCCTCACGCCGTCCCAGTGCCTCCCAGTGCCTCCCAGTACATCCCAGTTTCCCCCCGCAGGCGACTCCGGGGGCCCCGTCGTTGTCACGTGGGGGAAGCGCCACTTCCAGGTCAGTGGGGACACCGGGGGGGGGTGAGATGGAAACTGGGGGTACTGGGAGGATACTGGGAGGACACTGGGGGGGCACTGGGGATACTGGTTATGGGGCTGACTCAGGTGGGGGCGCTGGTCCACCCTGACCCCTGTGTGACCCCCCTGACCCCCGTGTGACCCCTGTGTCCTCCAGGTGGGCGTGGTCCTTGACCCCCCTGACCCCTGTGTGCCCCCTCCAGGTGGGCGTGGTCAGCTGGGGGGTGGTCCCTGACCCCTGTGTGACCCCCCTTGACCCCTGTGTAACCCCTGTGTGACCCCGTGTCCTACAGGTGGGGGTGGTCCTTGACCCCCCTGACCCCCGTGTGACCCCTGTGTGACCCCCCTGACCCCCCGTGTGCCCCCTCCAGGTGGGCGTGGTCAGCTGGGGCGTGGTCTCCGTGTGCCACCAGCGCCAGGCCCCGTCCTACGCCCGCGACTTCCACGTGAGCCTGTTCGAGGTGCTGCCCTGGCTCAGGGAGAAGCTGGAGGACGAGGACCTGGGCTTCCTGCCCTGAGCCCCGGGGACACCCTGGGACACGCCAGGACACGCCAGAACATGCCAAGACATGCCAGGACATGCCAGGACACACCACGGCCACGCGACCCCACAGGGGTGGGACGTGGGTGGGGGGATCAGAGGGGGTTGTGGGGACGATTTCAGGGGTCCCTCTGGGTCTGGGGGGGTCCCAATCTCTCCCTCAGATGACAATAAACGTGGCCACGTTTCTCTCGACCTTTATTGCCCCCCCAAAAAGGCCCCTGGTGGCCCCTCACTGCCCCCCGAACGGGTCCTCGTTGTACACGACCTGCGAGTGGGGGATCCAAGGGGGCTGTGGGGATGATTTCAGGGGTCCCTCTGGGTCTGGGGGGGTCCCAATCTCTTCCTCCAGGTGACAATAAACGTGGCCACGTTCCTCTCGACCTTTATTGCCCCCCAAAAAGGCCCCTGGTGGTCCCTCACTGCCCCCCGAACAGGTCCTCGTTGTACACGACCTGCGAGCGCTTGTCGCGGTGGGAGCC